CTTTTCCGCTCTTTGGGCCCAAGGAAGTCACTAAAAATTATTAATTTCATTTTTAAATTTAGTATGTTTTGATAAGTAAGGTGGGTAAGCCAAAGGTGGTTAGTGCTCCTAACGTGTACCCCCCCCAAAGTAAAACTAAATTTGTTTTGAATCATAAGACGTCCCTGCTGCATTATAAATCTTGTATCTGAGGTGCACGAGGCTGAATTGGAAGATATTTCCTTGAATGGCCTCCATTGTATGAAGTGATTTAATTTTTGCAGTTGTCGTTCTAATTTCCGGGTGAGAAGATATTGTAATTTATATGTGTTTAAATTCTTAGAGCTTTGAAAGCTTATTTCTTACCGCATTACTTTAATTCTAATTAATATATCAGATTAATAGTTTTAAGTCGTGTAAATAGTGAACATATGCATGTTCCCAAGGTGGCCCGACACCGGTGCCACCTTGGGAACACAGAGCCTTCGGAAACAAACGTGAAATTTATAAAAGAATTAATTATAAATCATTACGTAGCATGTTATTTCAAAAAGAGGAATGATTGAATTGAGTGAAAATTGATTTATTTCATTTTAAGCAAATGTAGAACTTTGGTATTTTTTAAACTTTTATAATATTTTGACGTTAAATGCACTTTAGTAGAGTTTGCAATATTTTTTTACAAGTTTTTTTTGTATTGTTTGCATTTTAAAGTAATTTTTCAGGTATTTTTTTTATTTTTCTGGTAGTTATGAGTGTTTTTGTGGTCGATTCAGGTATTTTCTTGTAAATTTGGGTATTTTTATACTAGTTATGGGTTAGGTTAGTTAACTCTAGTATGGCTATTTAACTCTTGTTAGTTAATCCGTTTGAAAAAATTAACTCAGTAATAAAAATTAAAAGAATCGCTAGTGACTTCACACAAGAACTATCAATGTAAAATCAATAAACAAATAATACATTCTGAAAACAAATATCTTTTTCAAAATCGGGAAACTTGTTCCCTACCAGCAAGACATTTAAAGTGCCTTTTTAAAAGACGTTTACCAGTCCAAATGTTTTTTCTAAGGATAATTTGAGTAAGTGAAAAAGTGATTTCAATATATGGCTCACCTTTGGAACCTGTGGGAAACCTAAGGCGCAGAAGCTACAATTTCGAAATTGTATTACAAAATAAATGAAATTTTATTTTACAATTAAAAGTCTGCATGATATATATTAGAGATGGGTGTAAGATGTTACAAAAAAAATTTCAGTCACACAGACTTAACCAGAAAATTAGGAAAAATCCTCAAAGTAAAGCCATTTTTAGCTCCCTACCTTAAGTTTTGATTCAATAAGTTGTTTCACTTTAATAAGTTATTAAATATGTCGAAATGTATTTTGTTTTCTATGTGAATGTGCGCTTTCCTTTCATACAGTTAATCAATTTTTTTAAATAATATTTTCTCTTGAATATTCTTGCGCCACCCCTATAGTGTGCTCGCGCCCCCCTAGGGGGCGCGCCCCACAGGTTGAGAATCACTGTGTTAAAATACAAAACTTAAAGGAACTTATTTGATTACTTCCTGAGACTCCTGAGATTACTTCCACATTTTTACATTATTTTAATGAATGTAATTTTATATGTTAAAATACAAAATTTAAAGGAACTTATTTGATTACTTTCTGAGACTCCTGAGATTACTTCTACATTTTTACATTATTTTAATGAATGTAATTTTATATGTTAAAATACAAAATTTAGTGGAACTTATTTGATTACTTCCTGAGACTCCTGAGATTACTTCCACATTTTTACATTATTTTAATGAATGTAATTTTATATGTTGAAATGCAAAATTTAAAGGAACTTATTTGATTACTTCCTGAGAAATCAAATTTCAAATGTACGACTTCCTTAAAACTCGATTTCTCAAGAACTATTCAATCGATTTTGTTCAAATTTTGTGTTTGACATAAAATTAAATTCCTTAAAATGATTTAAAAATTTGTACACCTTAAAATTCAAAATTTTTGAAACTATTTTTAAATAAAATCGTGAAAGTTACAAATAGTTATTATTAATTATTATTAATTATTTTTTTCCATTGTGCTATCTTTGGATAAAC